ATCTTTTGTTTTTTATTGTATTTTTTATTTTTTTTTGTAAGGATTCATCTTCTTAGCACAATTAAAAAAGTTACACAAAAATGAAGAAGAAAAATAAACCTTTTTTTTTTTTTGTGGTGATTTGATTATTATAAGTCGTCGTCATCTTCGTCTCTTTTTTTTTTGCATTTTTATTCTTTTTGCAAATAAAAATGCATAAAAAACTCGTAAATGACATCCGAAGAATCTGCGGGAGTTAAAATATAACGCTAAAAAAATAAGAAGGAAAACAATAAAATTTAAGATCATTTAAATCAAGGGATTAAAATATAAAAATAAAAAAAATAAAATATTTAAGAGAATGAAAATAAATTTAAAAAAGAAATTCTTTAACAAAAAAAAGGATGCCTTACTAAAGACGTCACTTTAAAAAAAAAAAAATTTATATAGTTCTCACTAAAAAATGACATTAAAAAATTTATTTTAAAATTAATAATGTGTTCAAAAGAAATTCGTCATTTTAGAGAAGGATTATTCAAAATAAAAAATTTTTGCAAAATAATAAAGAAAAAATAAAGGACAAATTAAATAAAAAAAAATAAAGGTTTAAGTGGCTTTTGGCGTGTTTAATTTTGAAATTACATATTTAAAAAAAAAACAGGCAAGACTAAATATAGAATAATTAAATTTTATATTAAAATCATTAACATCGTATTTCTTAATTACTTAATAATTTTTATTAATTTTATTGTTCATTGCTAACCGTAAAGACCGTCGACTCTTAAATAACCTTTATATTGAAAGGAACAATTGTCGATAATTTACATTAACAAAATTTTGTTGATTTCTAAAATTCAAGATAGTGTTCCGGAACGTTGACTAAAAAAAATTAATTTTGTATGCATTACCCATTATTTTATACCCATTAAAGACCAAAGTTTCTCTTAGAAATAGTTTCTTAATTTCTAAATAGAAATAAAAAATACTGAATGTACAACTGAAGAAGTACGAATTTGGCTCTTAGCAGACTTTCAATTTATACCATCCGAATTCCCTAAAAAATTTTATCAGTTAATTTGTAAACATCCAGTTGCTCGCACATGATTTCTTCTAAAAATTAAGTGGTTTTTCGTACAATCACATGAAGCATATATATGCAATTTCAACATAATCTATTGAATATTTTCTTAAAAATTATCAAAGCATAGAATCGGCCCGCAGTAAATACCTAGTTTCCTGGCATATCGCAAAAGTTGATCACACTGTGAGATAACTGAAGCAAACTCGGATATAAATTTATACGAAATGCTATAAACCGGTTTCTAATACAAGTCGAATTATAGAACTTACACTTGCCTACAACAGAGAAATACATTTTCGTACTAAACTCGACATCCGAAATTCGGAACAGTAACATAACGTCCTTTATTGCATGCCCTTATTACTTCGAATTTTCATTGAATATAAAAAACGATCTCTTTACAATTTTAACTTGTACTGCAAAAAATTGTCCAAACTTCAATTAAAAAATTAATTCAATTTTTAATAATTAAATGCTCTTTAAGGTTAAACGTTTAATCATAGCATAAATTTTATTTTAAAATTAAGATTTTAAACTATATTATTTAAATAAACTTATCTAAATTGAACTACATTAAATCAAAAAAAATATACCAATATTAAAATTACGATATTTATTATGGGCAAAAAAAATCAAAAAACAAATATTTCATAAATATAAAAATTGACAGCAGCCAACATATTAATCATAATTATTAATAAGCAACAAGAATATTGCATGCTCCTGCATAAATCATAGTTTTTAAAATTTTCATTTTCAAATTCATTTAAATGTTAAAAAACCGAAGAAAAAAAATAAAACGTAAACGTCATCAGCTGAGATCATTAAATTCATTTCAAAAAACACAAAAATTTTAACATCTTTTCATTGTTACCGACCCGATCTGATCGCAATTATAATTGCGGATTCAATGAAATGGAGTATAGGAATGTAATACTAATATTATGATGTATAAACATGCCATGTATACCGGGCGTTCATAAGACTTTTGTAGGTGACTTTAATATTTTAGAGAATAATAGAGTATACTGTAGCGTATTTAAACTATAAAGTCAATAAAAATGGTAAACCGAGAATTATTACAAATTTAATTTGTTTTTTTCTCTTATTTTCTTTATTTTTGCATTTATTAAATTGCAAATCGGAAAACCGAAATCAAAACGCATTGAATTTTTTTTTTATTCTTGTTAATTTCATTAAGGTATACAACAACGCCGCGCGCTCCAAAACATAATCAGAAGCTTTAGAAAAAATGTAATTTTCTGATGCCAGATGTATTGAGTAATAAAAGCAAAACAAAAATATCTAAAATACAGGGAAAAAAAAAAACACAAAATTACAAATTTTTTTATTTGTTTTATATTTTTTTTTTAAATAGAAAATTTGTAGGTGGGCGCTCTATTTAGTTTTCTGCAACAACCATTAAAAATTATTTGAAAAAATGGAAAAACGCGAGGAGAAAACTTTTGTATTATTGTGAATTTTTTGAATTTTGTTCTTGATTTCTTCTGGTTTTGTTTTTTTTTTTTTATTTTCTAGTAATAAAATCAAATAATGATTTATTTATGGTTGTACTTTGTTGACAGATAAATTGCTTTTCATAGCAATTTTCATTTTAAACGAGTTTTTCTTTTTTAATAGTTGATTTTTAGATTTTTATTTAATATTTAGAAGTTCAATAATGTTTTTGGTATAGGTGAACAGTCTGGGACATAAAGACTCGATAAATTTTTGTAATTAAGGCAAAACAGAAAAAAAAGAACTTTTGGTTGATGTTTTTGGTTTAATATTTCAATATTTATGACCTTTGTATTGCTTTATTCCATATTTGTATATTGTCATTATACTATAATGCAGGTAGTATATATACACTATATATTATGTTTTCCTAATTTAGTTACATCTAAATTTGATTAACCCGACTTTAATTGCATTATTCGTAATTTAAATTGATTTATGCATATTAATAAAATTTATTACAGTACATTATTTTAGAAGAAAAAAAATATTCGTATTATTCGTAGATTCTAAGGGCACTAGAATGGGGCAAGAGGTCATATTCCCCAGGCCACCGCAACCATTCGCGATTTTTTCTAGTCTCCTAAAGCTTCTGCCTATAATCAACTTGTTCCAAGTTAAAAGCAGGAGACACCCCCAATGGCACTAGACAGGAGCTTCCGTAGGTTTAGGAAACCCTGCCGAAAACAATTGCTACGTCGGATACCCAGTGGAAAAGAATATACATGGCGATTTTGCTGCCGTCCGCACAAAATATGCACAAGGGGGAATGTCATTTCCCAAGTTTATTCAGGGGGCATATTGCAAATAACCTGTCAACGGGACAGATTATTTGTGTAAACTTAAATTATGTTTGTAAACTAATAACCACACGTAAATTAAATGTACTAACAAATAAAATTTCTTTTATTAAATATTTTTAAAAAGTTTTACTAAAAACGAAAAAGTCATAAGATCAGAATTTAAACATTTGTTGAAAATAGAATAAAATTTATGATTACTTTTATACATACAAGTAGGTACTAGATATTTTACAAAAATTTAAATTTGTAAATTGAAGAAAAGACAATTGAAATCTTTATTCGTTTATTATATACCTCAATTTAATTTTATGTGAGACTCAAATCCAAAATTTGGTAAATTTTGTAATATTTAAAAAATTCTAAGATCGAAATTTGTATTTACATAGTCTTTTTCAAGCAATAAATGCAGATCACAATTGCTTACCGAAGAATTTATTTAAATTTCATTATTATCGCCTTAGAAATTCGTTTAACATAAGAGCTTGATCCATTTAACATTATTACTAAATTTTTAAAAATTCCAAATTTATGACAAATAGACCAAAATTAAACGCATTTTCTAATTATTTCATTTTCATTCATTTATTAAAATTTTTTAAATGAAATTTTCAATTAAATTGAATTTTTATACGAATAGCAAGCAAAAACCTATGTATAACACTTATACTTATACATAATATTCTTAAATATCTTTAACTTTAAATGAAAAACAAAAAAAATTTCTAAGTTATTTTTAAAAAATGAAATTTCTAAATTAAAAATTTCATTTGAAAAATATTTGATAATAAATTAAATTTTTAAATGTTCATATTAGGGAAAGGGGTGAGTGACATCTTTTAACGTAACGGAAAATTAATTATATTATAAAATAAGAAAACAAAAATTAAAATGAGAAAATACAAATGAAATTTTACGCTGCGTTTACGTTCATTCTATTCTTTTTTTTTTTTAATACAAGAACAATATATTTTAATACAATTATGTTCTATATGTATGATGATTTAATAAAAGGTTTTAATGATTCGGTATTATAATATAAATATGTAAATTTTTATTTTTAATTAAATCTAATTAGTTCAGTTTACATTTTCAGTCGACATTTTGAGAAATTTTTATTAATAACACAAAAATGAAATTATGGAAAGAATTTGTAATACAAAAATAAAAATTTGTAGTCATTTTACCAGTATATTGACACTTAAATGACATTTTTACACACAGGAACTGGTTTATTTGAATACATAAGGTATAGACGTTTTTAATGTGCCGAAAATTGCTCTTCGAATATTCCCGATATTAGCGGCAAAAATAAATTTAACAAGCATGAATTTCGATCAGTGAATAATGATCTTATTTTTGAATACGTATATGCGTTTGTGCTTCGTAAATTATTTACATAAATAGATTTATATAGTGGATTCTCTTAATAATGGTATAAAGTCAGTAATTCACTATTAGAGATAACGTAACCTAAATTACTCACTATATATACAAAGGCAGTGCTTGTTAATGGTTATTTGAGCTGTTATTAACAATAATATACACATAATTTAGACCTTAATATTATTGAGTTGATTTTATAATTATTTTTTAAATTTTAATTATTTCTTTTTACTTACAAGTGAATCTACTTCGGGGTCCGCTGTGTAATAAGGTTTTTCTGAACGAATCTGCAAGAAACAAAAAAACAAAATAATAAAATTATTAAGTGTTAATTAATATAAATTTTTTTTTTATTAATAATATTAATAACGACAAATAATAATAATGATAAAAGAAATGATTTTCTTGGAAATTATTTTCAATTTTACAAACCATGAAAATTAAGGACCAACAATAAAAATCTTGAAATTCCAAAATAAATACAACTTTTTCTTTATTATTGTCTCCCCTGTTTGTTTTTCTCCTTTTTTTTTTATTTTGGAATCTCTCTCTATCTTGCATGATATGAGGAATTGTGCGAAAGCATGTAATTTGAATTTAACCGCAAACAACATATTTTTTTTTTGTTCTCATAAAAAGCAAACAAGAGAAAATCTTATTTTCAAGAGCAATTCTACGCGCTACCAAAATACGACCAGTTTTGAAAAATTCAATGAACTTTTCCCAAAAAAAAAAAACTATACAAAATAAAATTTATTTTTATTTCAAAACAAGAAAGGGACCAAAACATAAAAATATAAAAAAAAAGAGGAAAAACAAAAAGAGATTTACGAAAAATATCAAATTTCTTTGATAATTCTCTCTTTTTTATACCCTGCACTTCGTGAAGGGTATATTAACTTTGGTATGGAGTTTGTAACTACTTGAAGGAGTCATCTGCGGTATGGACATATATATATATTCTTGCTCAGCGTAAAATTCTGCGTCGATTTAGACATGTCCGTCTGTCCGTCCGTCCGTCCGTCCGTCCGTCCGTCCGTCCGTCCGTCCGTCCGTTCGCACGATAACTCAAAAACGAATAATGCAATCGACACCAAACTTTCACAAGTTTTTTCTTTTGTGCCAAGGACGAGCCCTATTGTTATTGGACTAATTCGGACAACGGGTTCGGGTAGCTGCCATACAACTCAAAGAGTTTATTTTAAATATTTCAAAAACCAATAAAGCTATAAATATAAAACTTTGTATACATGTGTCCAATTATATTCTACACATGCTCTAAAAATTATAATGGGATAGCTGCACCGGTTCGGGTGGCTGCCATACAACTCCAACAGCAAATTTTTTATATTCGGCAAAATAATAAAGTCAGATTCATGAAACTTGGCAGTCATGTGTCCAATTATAGGTCAAATATACTTCTGAAGTTTTAGAGGAATTGCTTTACAGGTTCGGGTACCTGCCATACAACTCCAGAAGCTAATTTTAAATATTTGAAAAAATAATAAAGTCAGATTCATGAAACTTGGCAGTTGGATGTCCGATTATAGATCAGATATATTTGTGAAGTTTTAGAGGAATTGCTTGACAGGTTCGGGTACCTGCCATACAACTCCAGAAGCTAATTTTAAATATTTGGAAAAATAATAAAGTCAGATTGATGAAACTTGGCAGTTGTGTGTCTAATTATAGGTCAGACATATTTCTAAAGTTTTAATGGGATTTCTTGACAGGTTCGAGTAGCTCCCATACAAGTCTTAAAGCTTATTCTTAATATTTGGAAAAATAATAAAGTCAGATCCATGAAACTTGGCAGTTGTGTGTCCGATTATTGATCATATATATTTGTGAAGTTTTAGTGGAATTGCTTGACAGGTTCGGGGACTTGCCAAACAACTCCAAAAGCATATTTTAAATATTTGGAAAAATAATAAAGTCAGATTCATGATACTTGGCAGTTGTGTGTCCGATTGTAGATCAGATATATTTGTGAAGTTTTGATGGAATTGTGTGACAGGTTCAGGTACTTGCCATACAACTCCAAAAGCTAATTTTAAATATTTGGAAAAATTATAAAGTCAGATTCATGAAACTTGGCAGTCGGATGTCCAATTATAGGTCAGACATATCCGTGAAGTTTCTATAGAATGACTTCACAGGTTCGAGTAATTGCTACACAATAACGAAAGGTGCAGGGTATTATTCAATCGGTTTATACCGACTGAAACGTTTTTACTTGTTTATTATTATTATTATTTTAATTTATATAACACATTAATATACTAACAACTAACATATTCATTTACATACGCACATAATATTCTGATGCAGATTCAACTTACATAAGTTCCAGTGCACACATAAATATTCATACACATTCATGCATACTTATTAATTAAAAATGGAAAATATTTTAAGTATAAAATAAATCTTTGAACAAGATCTGAAGATTTTAATCCCTGAATTCTCAAATTCATCATTTTTTGGAATGAGATTTTTTTTTTGTGTGCTAAGGGAAAAAAAAATAAATTTTATTTTTTTTTAATTTCGATTTTGATATCCAGATGTGACAAATGTGACAGAAGTTATTCTTTATTTAAAATTAATAGGAGAGAAAAGGGATAAAATTTTAGGAAATGGTTTTAGTATACGAGAGCACTAATGGAAATTAAATATACTTTGTAAAAATATCTCAAATTCTGTTAGAGGATTGCTAAACTTTTACTAATAAACACAAAAATTTTAATTTTTATATTAAAGAAAGCAGCGAACCCGACTGCGTTCCTTAAAATAATTAAATTTGAAAAATGCTCATATTTTAAGAGGTTTTCTCATGAAATCAATATTTCTTGGAGATAATGCATTAGGATGCTTCCTACTTTTGTATAATAAATTAAATGAAAATTTTTTCAGTTTTCTATATTTAAAATTTATTAATTGAATTTGAAAATTTATATGTAGGTACGTGTATAAAAGTTAATTAACAGATTTGAGCACATTAAGTGAATTTAGAAAATTTTTTGAAGGAAATCATGTTGTACACATTTAACAATGTAACTGATATCAAGTTGAAGATTTGTAATATAGCACATTTCCATTTTAAAATTAAGATAATTTAAATTTCAAATCTAAATTATGAAATGCTCTGTTGGAATTCTTTTTTTATCAATAATATTATACTGCATTCGTTTAGAGGAAATTCGAAGGTAATAGTTTGTATTACATTCCGTTTTAAATTAAACATTTGCCGTGAAATATTGAATTTAATTGATATTATTTCCATTTAAAATTATAAATTGAAATTTGGCAAAATACTATATCCGGAGATATATTATATTCTGGTTTGAAAACTGTTCCTTGAAAAATTTTTTTCATTTTTCATTTCATATCCTACTTTTAATTAAATTTTTTTTTGGATAATTGTTATATCACTAAAATTACTTTTAATATTTTAATATATTTACGATATATTGATTTTATTTCCCTATATTGCTATATTTAATTAGCACGCTAAACAATTATGGCATGCAAATGAAGCGTAAAGAGATAAATAAATAATATTATTTCTTCACACTTTTCCTGTATTGAAAACTTTCATATCTTATTGATTTAAAAATTACGATAAAGTCCCAGATGCATTTTTAAAAATAAACGAATCACGTAAATTCATGAAAATTATTAAAAAATAATTTATTTTTACAGTAAGCAACAAAAAATTTCTTACGCTTCTTTAGATTTTTTCCTTTTTTTTCACTGCATTGAAACTTAAGAAATAAGTTTTGTGTATTTCAAAGGTGCATTAACATTAAGATGAAGAAAAAGAGGACGTCTTGTTTAAAAAATCATTTTATTTTTTTTTAATTTTTTGATTTTTTCTTTATAAATTTATCTTTATTTAACTTAAATATTTTCTCAATTTGTGTTTTTTTTTTTTGTTCTTTCAGAAATGATTAATGAAGTGCGGGATGATGATGCTCTTTTTTACGACTTTTTTTTTGCCTCATTTTCATTACTCTCAGTCATATGTGAGACTTAAATTTTTTTTTTATATTTTGGAATATTTTTTGCATTGAAAAAAAAAGATGAAACAAAAAAAAAATTTTTTTATTATTTTTTAAATTTTTATTCATTTGAATTCTTTGGTTTTGCAAATTAACATGAAAATCATGTGTTTTTAAAGAAATAAACACTCTGTGCCTTTGTTTTGGGGGTTTTGTTTTCATTCCTTATAATTTTAATTTTTGGTGTTTTTTTCTTTTTCGTGTTCTAAATATGGGAATGAAAAGTAGAAGGTCATATTTGAAAGAATATTTTTGCACAAAACTATACTATAAACTTTATTTTCTAAAAATAAATGCACGGATTGCATATAGAATACGTTAATTGGATAAAAATAGACTCGATTAAAATTGTATAAATGATGAACTAGAAAACTACTTTTATTTAAAATGTTTTGAACCGGATAATCTCACAAGTATTTATATCTCATAAGTATTTACTACTATTTCAATTATTTTTAATAAGAATACCTGATAAGTACTTCAGTTCATATTAATTCACGAAAATTTCTTAAAATTACGAGTACGGTGACCACTGCAATTTTCGTGCTATTTAAAATTCAATTTGTACAACAATTATTTTAAGCGTTTTTTAAGTCTATATTAAATTCATCTTGATCATATATTATTATTGTATGCGAAACTAATAATAAATAATATTTTTGAAATAACATACACACATAGTAATATAGAAGACTGCCTAAACCAAAATTAGTGGATTTAACAACATTCAAATTCAAAAATTAGAATCATTTTGAAAAATTTTGAAAATTTTTCATCAGCTTCTCTAAAAGTCTATAGCTAAATAAATTTAAACTAAGTTTTCGAGATCATAGTAAAATTTTTCCAAGAAAAAAAATTCACTAAAAATTTTTAATTTCATCGCCTTAGAATTTTCTTGGAATCAGGCGAATTTTACTGAATTTTATATTTGTGTTCAAGTTCCGAAATATTGAAAACTCCTAATTTTGTACTCAATCGACTTAGGTGGTTTTGCCTTAATTTAAAAGGATTTGTTAAGATTTAATGTACTACTATTTAGTAGACCCATTCGATTATAAAGTTATTAACAAAAAAATTTATAACGATTTATTTTTTAATTTTTAAAATTGCATATCCAATTTTCTTTAATATAAATAATTAAAATATTTCTACTAAATTCTAACTCTTTTAAAACTCATTCCACTATAAATTAAAATCCTATATACTTGGTTAAGACTAAAACACCT